TGGGCTCTGCCTGGCTCAGACTTGGTTCTGGGTACTGTGTTTAGTGGGAGACTAGAGACAGGGCATTTCTGGAGGTAATGGTCAAGCCCAGGAGCCTGTCCTTGGCCCCCTTTCTCCTTTCTATCTCCCTCTCTGGTCCCTTGAAGCCCACCAGGGGTGTTTAGCCCCCTCCCTCCCCAAGGCTGCCATTTCAAACAGCTTCACTCAGGTGGGATGGGGGAGTGGAGAAACACCCTGGTGAAATCCTGGGTGTCTCCAGAAGAGGAGCAGTCACTCGCCCTGAAGTTCACCCACCCAACTGCCTTATAGCAAAGTTCCAGACATGTGCCCTAGAAGAGGAAAAAGATCCCCAGCACTTGGGCATGTATGTAATGTGTACATGGCAATCGTGTATACATGTCAACATGTGCCCACATGCATTTTTAAAAAATTTAACAAGCATTTTATACTTATAATGCTTATTATGAGCCAAGCATGTTCTAAGTGCTTTATAAATATTAACTCACTTAACCTTCATAACAACCCTATGAAATAGGTACTGTTATTACTCCCACTACACAGATCAAGAAACTGAGGCACAGAGAGAACAAGTCATTTGCTCAAGGTTATGGACCTAGAAAGAGGCAGCAGCAGGATTTGAACCCAGGTGTTCTGGCTTCTTACAGACACGTCAGGTGTGTTTTGCATGTCCATATGTATGCAACTGTGTGTATCTGTCTTTGGGGTGGGAAGGGTGAACTTACTTTTTTTCACTCATGTTCTCCACTTAACCCAGACCTTATAGCTTGCAAAGTCCTGTGTGATACTGTGGTATAATAAATGTATATTGTCTCTGTACCAGTTCCTGGTACAGAACTCCTAAAACTCTTATAATTTCCTGAGCAATAGGGGTGCTCAGAAAATATTTTGTTCTAATATTTGGACTTTGACTCTGGTTCCTTACAGAGAGCTCCTAATCCCTTGGAATTTCCTGGGTGATAGGAGGGTCTTTTGTTCTAATGAGGTGACTCTTGATGGTCTCCTGAATGGGGGCTGGTCACTAAAAAGATCAAGCCACATTTAGAAGCTTGGAACTTTCAGCCCCATCCCTCATCCTCCAGAGAAGGGAGGGGCTGAAGGTTGAGTTGATCACCAATGGCCAAAGATGTAATCAACCATGTCTGTGTGATGAAGTCCTCATGAAAACCCAGAAAGACAGGGTTTAAAAGAACTTCTGAATAGCTGAACACATGCAGGTGCCTGGAGGGTGGCACATGCGGAGAAGGCTTGGAGGCTTCACTCCCCTTCCCACATGCCTTGCCCTATATATCTCTTCCATCCAATTGTTCATCTGTATCCTATGTAATATTCTTTATAATAAACTGGTAAACATAAATGTGGTGTTTCTCTGAGTTCTGTGAACCACCCTAGCAATCTAATCAAACCTGAGGACAGCAGGGGTGACCTCTTGTGCAAACTGGTTTCCTCTGGCCCATTTCTTCTGGAGTGCCAATTCAATCCAACCAGCTCATGAGAGGCTGCCTGTGCCTGACCCAGGGCCACTGAGGAGGATGTACAGCAAGTGAGAGCACTGGGGTTAAATTTCCTAGGACTAAAAAGAAAACTTATTTTAGATAATACCACTTAAGACACTGTGAACACCTTGTGCAAATGTCTCTGAGATCTGTACCTAAACTATCCTGCCATTTGTTGAAAATAGCAGACTATGGCCAGAGAAATGCTAGGGAAAATCCTACTTTGAAATGGCACTAGTTAACGTCTAGTGAGCGTACCTGTGAGGTGTTGGTTATTGTTTTAGATATATCATCTCTTTTAAGCTTCAAAAATTTCTATGTGTTATTATTCCCATTTTACAGATAAGAAGATGAGGCTCAGAAGGGGAAATGTCTAATTCCAGGGAGGGGTGTGTACTTGTGTGGAGCATGGCTGGGGAGACCTCATCTCATCTCCCTCACCTGACCCCGCAGCCATGACACCCCTTGAGCCAGGCACAGGAAGAAGCAGATCTCTGTTTTCCTCAGATCCTCCTAGCAGGCAGCCCCAGCTCTGGGAAAGCCCAAGCCAAATCCCTTGGTGTGGATTGAATCTCCCCCACAAACTCACTGAAGCTCAAATTGTATCCCCCAAAGTTCCAGGTACTGGAAATTTGGCCTCTACTGTAATGGTTGAGGGTGGGAAATCCCATTATGGTAATGGAAAGGTGGGGCCTTGAAGAGGTGATTAGATTGTAGGACCGTGCAGTAGTGAATGGATTAA